TCTATGTTCGAGAACGCATGTTTCTGTTACCTCTATATCGAATCTTATGTGTTTGTGTTCCGACATCAAGATTTCGTTGGAGACGTGCCAGTTTTTAATTTGGTTGCTTATGTATGAGCTTGTCAAGGTTAAATTCAACACTTCTTGTAGCACACTGTTCGAAAATGTGGAGCTTGTTACCATTATTGGTAATGTCTAAGTCATTAGAAAACAAGGTATTCACCTCTTTTGGTGATGGTGTGGTGGGAGTTTGCATCACAACCGATCCTAAGGTGTTTGTTCATGCTTCTGCTGAGGAGTCGTTACACGTCCTCTGGATTTGTTTCGTCGTCTCCAGGAAAGTAAGCCAGGGAAATTACTTCATCTTGCTTACCCCTTGGTACATCTACAGCCCCTGCAAACAAGTCCTATGTAATGAACTCTGGAAAGAGAACAAAGTTGATTTTCTTATTTAGCAGATACAGAGACTGGTGAAGAAATACTTAATTTTGACTAACGATTAATTAAATTTAATAGTTAATTGGTGGGGATGCAGTATTGCATTAGGTAAATTAGGCCATTCTTTATTGTAAAGTAGAGCTTTTGGAAATCTTGATTTTTTTTTTTTGGCTACAATAGGAAACTTAGCAAAGATATATAATAATATAAAACATAGCTCACTGCAAACTGGGGTTAAATAAATATTAACGGTGGTAAAACACTTTAGTATTAAGCTACATTTCTAACGTTAAAGTTATCCTTTTTAGAACGATTTCAATATAAAAATTTACGGATTATCTATCAGTTTTTTAAAAAATATATCTATAAATTAAAATGGTCTTATATAATTTAGCGTGCGAAGTGTTCAGTTTTAATAATAGGATGGTTGAATAGGTAATTATTTGTTTTGGTGGATTTACGTATTCGAGGATTCTCTTTCTGAGATTCGGCGATTGGATCGAGCAAATTATTTCCAGGTCGCTTTTATGAGAGTAGGTATATCCTTTCTCTTAGGACTCTTGAAGTTTGTTCAATATAAATTGAGTCACAATTATAACAAGTAATATAATATTATATGTACACCAGATTTTTTTTAAATTTCGTCTTCATCTTTCAGTTCTGTGTTTAATTTACCAACATTTCGATCAAATTTTTGAGTTTCGAGAAAAATCAATTCAAAATTCCTACACTTCTCTGATAATTATATATCCTCATCCGAAAATCAATCACCGCTATATGGCGCTGTATTTTGCCAAGATGGAGTTTATAGTGATGAACAACAATGAAACGACATAAGCTCTTGTTTGAATTGTTTGGTATGTTCCGTATTTCGTTAGTGTTGTTGAGCTTCTGAATTGTTATTGATTGAACCATAAAAACTGATAAATATCCAAAATGGTTCAGGACCGACCTCCGAAGGTCAATTGTTCTTAAAAATAAAGCTTACAAAAGATATATGAAAACCCGGACTCCATCAAGTGATTACAATGCCTACTCCAAATATCCGACGAGAAGTTAAAGCAATGACTGATTATGTGTTACTCACTTTATGTTACCAATACTGAGCACTTACTTCCTGAAAATATCAAGCATTTTTGGTCATTTATCAACAATCTCAAAAGAGATTCAGGCTTTCCCGCCCAAATGCAACATAATGCGAACACAGTGACTAAGCCTGAAGATATTGCTGAGGCATTTGCATCTCACTTCCAATCAGCAAATGCCAACGTACCTATTTTGGATTTGAATCTTATGGATCCAGTGGAATTTGCTGGTGTTCTCTCCACCCACGATTTCACTACTGAAGAAATATGTGAAAAACCGAAGCAGCTCGATACGTCAAAGAAAGCAGGCCCCGATGGTGTCGCAGCTGTCATGCTGAAAAATTGTGCAACTTCTTTTGCTTCACCACTTCGTCAACTTTTTCAACGCTCATTGGATGGCGGCTTGTTTTCAGGAGCTTGGAAATTTTCCTTTCTATTGCCAATTTTCAAATCGGGGGACAAGTGTGACATCGAGAACTATCGTGGTATTTCCATCCTATCAGCTATTCCTAAACTCCTCGAATTCATTCACGACTTACAACAGATATATTAGCTCTGTCCAGCATGGATTTTACCGAGGACGTTCTACCACAACCATCCTTGCAGTCTATCAGAACTTTTTGGTCACATCAGTTGAACAGGGACATCAAGTTGGTTCTATTTATACCGACTTATTCAAGGCCTTTGACAGTGTTCACCATCAGCTCCTCCTCAAGAAACTGTCAGAAATTGGGATAATTGGGAACTATCTCAGCTGGATCCAATCTTACCTTGGTGATCGCCGGCAGCGAGTTGATCTCGGTGGTACACTATCCAGTGAAGTAATAGTTACCTCTCGTGTCCCTTAAGGTTCTCATCTGGGACCTGTACTGTTTCTTCTCTTTATCAACGACGTAACGTCCTGCTTCTTCTATTCTCATGTCTTGTTGTACGCTGATGATATGAAATTTTACAATCAGGTATCTGTGGACCACAACCGATTGCAGGATGATCTTGACAAGTTTGTATCTTGGTGTTCCCTCAATCACCTAAAGATTAATGTTCCAAAATGCAAGTCCATCCGTTTCGATAAGTGGTAAAATCAAATTGTTCGTAACTACACCATAAACAATCAACTCCTCACCTCAGTAGACTTATTCAATGATTTGGGAGTGATTTTCCAGAAAGGCCTGAGTTTCAATTTGCACGTTGAAAACGTTGTAATTGAGGGCCTTAGAATGCAGGGTTTGTAAAAAGGAATTCCAAATATAATAAATACCTACCAAAGCAGTACTTATGCTGTCTGTATTACTCACTTGTCCTTAGCACACTAGAATATTCCTCAACTAAATATTTGGACCCCCAAATACACTATCCACAAAAGCAGACTAGAAAGGGTTCAAAATAAGTTCACAAAGTACCTTCTATATAGGCACCATTTTCCTTCAGACGGACTAACCTATGGAACAAGGCTGATGCTTTGTGGACTAAAAAGTCTTGAACAGCGAAGAAGAGAAGTTGTTCATTATTTACTTTACAAGCTGTGCAATGTTCCCTCAAGACGCACCAGGCAACATAAACATAAACTACTATGGCCAAACTGCCCTCATTGACAGATTGGTGGTTAACTACAACCGTTTCTACTGCGATTGTGATATTTTTAACTACTCCCTGCCAGAAATCAGGAAGATGATAATGTTTATGTAATTTTAACTGTGACTCCTATTCATGTATATATATTTGTCTATCTGTCAGAATTTTTATGCAACTTGACTTTAACTGAGATTATTTCTGTATATCTATTTTTTTTATTTTTGTGCAGTATTTCATTTTGTTTTTTAATTTTGATTACTTTTAGAATTTTTTAAATAAATTATATGCAAATTTAGAATCTACCATTTAGAATATAATATTCTGTAGTGTATGCTTGAGATATACAGGGTGTCCACTTGGTGCGATATCGGCCGATATCTCCTTACAGGGTGATGCAAGAAAAAAAATTTAAATTACAAAGTTGGTTGATACTCTAATATGCATTAGTTGAAAATATTTTTGAATATACAGAGTGCTTCGTTTATGAGGTATGCGACAGAAATTTGTTATTTCAAATGGAACACCCTGTATGTGATTGCATATTTGGATCCTACGTAAAATTCTGAGCAGATTTCATATGATATGTACCCTATACCTAAGTTCAACTGTTTTGGAAATATTGACAGTTGAAAATTGACTTTTTGCAACTTTGACAGGCTGTAAAACCTGAACGGTTGATTTTAGACGAAAACCGATATTACATTCCTATCTTAGATTTTCATAAACTATCATTTGACACCAACTTTGAATTTAACCGGAGATTAAATTTAACTGGAATTTTTAATCATGGATTAAATTCAAAGTTGGTGTCAAATGATAGTTCATAAAAATCTAAGATACGAATGTGAAATCGGTTTTCGTTTAAAATTAACCGTTTAGGTTTTACAACTGTCAAAGTTGCAAAAAGTCAATTTTCAACTGTCATTATTTCCAAAACAGTTGAACTTAGGTAAAAGGTATATCACATGAAATCTACCCAGAATTTTACGTAGAATCCAAATATGTAATCACATACAGGGTGTTCCATTTAAAATAACAAAGTTCTGTCGCATACACCATAAACGGAGCACCCTGTATATTCATTTTTAACTAATGCATATTAGAGTATCAAACAAATTTGTAATTTAAATTTTTTTTATTGCATCACCCTGTAAGGAGATATCTTCCGATATCGCACTAAGTGGACACCCTGTATACATAAATAAATAAATGAATAAGCTATGCTTAAATGTCAAAAATTTTTGTTACTCAATGATATAGTGACTTATATTGGGGACAGAAGTAGAACTCTTGGAAGGTGAAGCAACTTTTAAAGCGGGGCACATAATACTTTGTTGCTTTGAAGGAGAAACAAATATCACATGCTTCTGTTTGCAAACCTCATCTTCAACTTCTAAACCTCACGGATTTAGAATTTTTTGTAGGATGAGATATATGAGGGATTTTCTGACTAGGAATTGCCAGTTCTTTTAAACGCCTTCTTTGATTTTTTGCTGGAAATATATGTTTGAAAATGTTTTTGGATGCAGTATGAAAAGCACTGAGGAACCGAGCAAATCTTGGATTGGGTGATAACAGAATTGAATTGTTAATATGCTACTCTAGGAGTTCTCCCATTTTCATTTAAATCCATGACCAAAATTTGCATATTGTTGATAACAAAACTGTTAATAATTTTACTATTTAGAGTGCGTGGATATTTTGCAACAAAAATGGAAGAACTCCTACTCCAATCTACCATTGTTCTGAACTTAACTTCATTTTACTGAGAAGTGGTCTAGATCTAGATGGAATTTAACATTCCGTGGTGAAAGTCTGTCATTAACTTTTATTTCCACGCCCCTCTTAACCGGCCATGCAAAATCCAGCTTAAGATCGAAACAAAAAAAATATATATATATATATTAAATCTAAAACATGTCTATATTTCTTAAGTTCAAGCACACTTTGGCGGATGAAAACCTTCATAATAAACAATATACAAAGGATAAGCCGATGCGTCATCATATTTGACGATAACAGACATATCTTCATTAGTAGACGAGCAATATGGCGCCTCCGGAATTATCGTATTTTCATTACCAATTGGCAACTTTTCCAAAAGCGCTTTTGCTATAATCATCACTTTTTTATTGCTGCGCTTATTGTCGCGATGGTAATGTGTGGCGAAATATGAATCTCGAGCGAATGATACTCCGTGTCCAAATTTGTGGGTACGAACCTGGAACAAGGGATTTTTAGAATTAATTAGAAACAACTCATCAGGATCGCTTACCTTAGATCTGTCAAAATTATAGGTACAAATCTCATGTAAGAATTCCTGTTTGGTTCCGTGGAAAATTAACAGGTCCGGTATCTTTTCCTTGTGTCTTTTCCTATAAATTTCTCTGTTCAATTTGAAATGCAACTCGTTGAAAATATTGTTTACTGAAGTTATTTTTTCAATGGTAAAACATGGTTTATTGCTGTTTTTGAAAACATTTGCCACTTGTGTGAATTTTAAAGATTCCAACTCTTTTTCCTCATACGCATTTTTTGGAAATTCTTCTAAGCGATTTAAGTGGTATGCGACTCTCAAGTCGTTAATTAATTGTAAGTTTTTTGTTACTTTGTCTTTGACCAAACGATCGAGGAACTCCAATTGCTCTTTCCTTTTAATCTGTTCTGCCTGTCTTCTTTCTGCCGCAATCGTTTCTCTTTCGATCAAGAGCCTTCTACGTTCTTGTTCCCATAATCCTCTTTCTCGTTCCAATTGTTTTTGTTGGTGAACTTGCCGAGCAATTTCCTCAGTTAGTTGTTTTATATGTCTGTCTTGTTCTTCTTTTCGTTTTTTTTCTTCTTCTAGCTTTGACGCAGAACTGCCCATTTTATAACACTCACCTAGTCGACACTACAGTGAAAATTCAAATTTGTGTAGGTACCTTTTTATAGATACATTATCTTATCATTTGGTAACCGGTAGTTTACCCGATAAAGTTAATTTCAACCACGATCTGTTCCAACAACGAATTAAAACTACATTAATACTTATATTTTGAAAAATCTTATTTCGATGGAATTTGATTTTATTGTATCAGACTTAAAATTCAGAATCCTAAACTGTAAATTCGGCGCTTATAAGAACTCACATGGAAAACTTGACATTTTCCTCCTTCAATTCGCGAAGTCAATGTTTTTGAAAAGCCATAGGTTTTAGATTTGTTCGTGTCCTGGTACTGTTTTTGAATTTTTAACGCACTTCAGTGCAAAAAAATATACCTACCTAATATGCAATAACAGTTATTATTTCTATAAAATGATAAAGATAAGGTTCTCATCATATTATTCTATTTTCAGGTATTTCACAGAATTTTGTTTTGTGATTTTTAATTCGAATTTTTGTATACCTCTGGGTGTGGTTCCTGTTCCTCAACCTAACTGAAAACTCACTTAGACAAGTTTAATGATTTATTAGTTATTAGATCAGAAAATCATTACAATAATATTTAAACACATAGTCTTGATCTTTGACTTCTCTGTTTCTGAAATTCCTTATATTGGATCAAATATAATGGCAGATACGAGACAATATCATATTCAAAGGGAAGAAATTTGGTTTGTTCAAGCTTCATTTGTTGTTTTCTTTCAGCTTTTTTCTCTGCCTTCTTTCTAGCTGCTTCTTCCTCAATCCGTTCGCATTCTTCTAGTAGCAAAGCATGCTTCCTTTGTTGCTCTTCAACTTCTAATTGTCTTTGTTGTTCGAAAAGCCATTGTATTCTTCTGGTACTATCGTTTGGGGTTCTTGTGGCGGTTTTCTGGAAAACCAACCACCCATTTTGAAGTACACTACATGAATAGATTGGATTATAGTTATTACTTACCTTACAAGTGATAAGACAAGAAATTTGCCAAAACTGCCCGTACAAAGCATTTAATCACTGAAAAGTGTTAAGGATTCTTAACAAATTGAAGTTAAAATTTCTTTTTTGTTCTAGCTCCAAATCAACCTTCAAGCCAGTCAACCTCAGCAATACCGTTCCATTGACAGCAACGGCGGCACACCTTCACCCCTGGAGGACGACATCGATGCCGCTCTGAACAATCTCCAAAGCACCTTGGAAGGTTCCAGCATCAGTGCACATTCAAATGACATCACTTCTGTGCCGGAGTTAAAGGACCAGTTACGATTCCTCAAGTAATAACTGCCAATAATATGATCAACCTCAAATACATTGCAAATTATTTTTTAGACCTAAACGTTTCACGCTTAAAGCCTACAAAAAGTACTGGTTCACTTGCCGAGACCTTCACCTCTACATGTATAAGAATCGTGAAGATATGGTCCATAACATTAATTGCGTCATGAATATCAACCTCAAAGGTTGTGAGGTGACTCCTGACGTGCACATCAGCCAGAACAAATATGTCATTAAGCTAGAGGTGCCTAGTGCCGATGGGATGTCAGAAATGTATATACGCTGCGATGACGTAAGAATTTGTAGTTATAATATGAACTGATTGTCTAGATATTGAAACAGATATTTGAAGACACCCTGTATATTTGAAATTGCTCTCTGCCCCAACGCACTTTTTTTTTAGGAGACTCAATACTCTAGATGGATGGCTTGTTGCCGCTTAGCCTCGAAAGGACGTTCTTTAGCCGACAGTTCTTACGAAACTGAAAAACAAACGATTTTGGACTTCCTGAATCTCCAAAGGCGAACAGAGCAGCCTGTCATCAATCCTAGCTCGTTGGATATACAGACTGAGGACTATTTATCGCCAAAATACTTGAAAAAATCCAAAGGAAAGGTACAGACTTTTTTCTGATAAGTTTCTTACAATTGTATGTTTTGTATGATTAAGGGCCGGTTTATTCACCTTCTGATAAACTGTCAGGTATGCAATCTGACAGGTAGAAACCCAATCTTCAACCTCATTGGTTGATCAGTTATCTGCTGACCAATGGAATTATAAAACGGTGAAATTATTTTGCATATAGTTACCAGCAAGTTTATCTGAAGATGAATAAACCAGGACTATGCTTTTAGCACAGCCTTTTAACTTAGTTCACACCAAAGAAACACATATGAACATTTTGTTGCTGGTTGTCGTAACCTGTTTACGGAAACAGAAACAACAGCAAAGGTTCTGTAAGGCTGAATAGACAATAGAGAGATTTTGAGCCACCTATTTGATCAACGTTATACGTTATCGGTTATTTTGCTCATGCGCAATAGTGAAAAAATAACCGGTCCGCTTAATAAGCGGTAACGTACTACGCTAATTATGTGGAAATAAACGGAACGTTATTAACCGATAACGTTTCAACATCTTTTCCGCATTCCGACGTCCTTTTATATTTTCAATGTTATCCATGAAGTGCAGTACACAATTACACAAAACAAAATACAAATGAATACCTAACAATTCTAACATAAACAACAGACAACATAAAATTTGATATTAGTTACACAAAATCAAAATCCTAACCACAAATTTTCATTAACATTTAGCGTATAACGTCCTACACAAGTTTTGGCTTCAAAAACTAAAAAAGGCTAAATGTCATACGCTATTTTTCAAAGACTGCGCTTGCTCAGTTTATCGTTTAGCGTGTAACGTACTTCAAAATTTATGTGGCTCAAAATCTCTCTAATGACAAATACAAGGTACAAGAGACCGATACAAAATACCAAAAAATCGAAATTTTGTATCGTGGCATGGCAAGTGAATTGTATCTTGTATCCATTTATTCTGGGTTATAACATTAATACACCTGCTATTATATGTATTTTTGTTTCTTGTCATTTATACCTTGTATTTGCCATTGTGTCTTCAGTATAAACATTCTGTCCACACCATGGTTACTCATTTTTGCGTTTTGTTGCTACAATAGTAAACGCTGTGTCTACACTAGTAATGTATGTTCCTAGTTTCAAAATAATGTGGTGCGACGACGATTGACAAACACACAACGGCTAAGTTTCGAGTTTTGAGAACAAGCAACAACGTGTCCACACTGATAAAAATGAAGTTGAGAAACACAAAATGATTACCAATGTTCCTATATTTCCTTTGTTATTTGTTGCTAAGTATAGAAATAAGCAACTTATAGGAACTTTTGTTGCTACAACCGTAAACAATAAGCAACTTGAATATATAAACATTTGGAAACATACAGAAACAAGTTCCAGGAACAAACAACATAAACACTATGTTTTTATATGTTGATTTCAGTGTGGACGTAGCTTTACCTTAATTTCATGCTAAAAGCTTGAAATTTGTCGCAAAAATCTGGAAATGAAATTTGTTTCATTACCTACCACATGATACATACATTCAGATGAGGCGAGGCACACTGGCGTTTCTGAAACTGGAAAGCACAAATTATTTCGCCTGTGCCACCTCATTTGAATGTATGTGTAGTGTGATGATGAAAAAAATTTCCTGTTTCTTGCAACAAGTTTCATGAAACTTTTTTCTCCAGTGTGTCACCTGCCTTATGGCAACTTTAAAAAATAGAATTCATTGCTACAAAAGCGAAAGGATAAGTAAAACCAAATCACAACTTACTGTCGACTTGGCGTTCCACTAATTATTATCCGAGTAAGTAGGTAGGTAGAAAATGACATCATACCTCCTATACAGCATGGCTTTATGTCAAAAAGGTCTACTACAACAAATCTTCTTAGCTGTCCAGACGATTGGTCTACAAATCTAGACGAAGGCAAGCCAATCGATATAATATATCTTGACTTTCAGAAAGCCTTTGATACAGTACCATGCAAGAGACTCTGTTACAAACAAAGCCATTATGGAATAAGAGGCAGGTACCTGCAATAAAGCAGCTCAAGCAAAGAACTTTTTATGTTCGAGCAAATGGAACCAGGTTTAATTGGTGCCCAGTCGTCAGCGGAGTACCACAAGGATACTGTATTTTTTTCAGTGTACACATTTCTGATCATTCAAAGATTATACAAACCAAAGTAAAATCCTTTGTAGATAACAGAAAACTAAACTGCTGGACAATTGCTTTCGAACAAGGTAAATATCGCCTAACTTTCAAGCTCGATATTTTTGGAACCAGACTAGATATCGACCTGCGGTTTTCACGGGCTGACAGATTGACTTTTTGTGAAAAAAATTGCTATTTTGAAATTTCTTTAAATGTCTACTTTTTTTTATACAGGGTGTTAAAAGAGTCCATGATTTTCATCCCAATTTTGAATGTGTGTAACTTTCTCAGATAATTTTTTTAATTTTATTTCTATGCGGCGTTTTAATCAATGATCTTCTGCAAAAAAAGTAATTTCTCAAATTTTTTATACCTGCCTTAGTTTTAAAAATATCGACTTTTTTTCATGACCTCCACTTTTTTCAACTTTTAAGCACCTAAACTATCCTGTACAATAAATCTTGCATCTTATACTGCTGTTTGATATACCCCACGATATCCTGGTTTATTTTCAATTAAAAAAAAACTTAAATAATGTGGTGTCCAGTAGCGTAGTAATAATCGCCCATTTTCGGAATAATTTATTAATGGCTCAACGATTTTTTCATTCAAAGGTGCATAATTTTAGAATAATCATCTGAAGTTTCATCTGTTTAGTTCATTTTAATCGTTGACATATTATTAAGAAACCAATTTCTCAAAATTTTGATATTTGCCTTTGGTTTTAAAATATCGTTTATTTAACATAACCATATTAATTTTTTCGATTTTTCCGTTCTAAACCATCCTGAATCGTTCTTACCGGTCAATTTTTTAGCAATTGTTATACCTTTCAGCCAGCATATTTACTATGATTAAAAATATCGAATACCTCAATGATATGCTGTACAGGGTGGGCCAATTTGGACACTTTTAATAGGAAACATCAATTTCTGAGCGAGATACAAAAAAATGAACCCCCCACTCTGAGGCTCAAATTTCATGAATTGAATTGATTGGTGCAAACCGCATTTTGATATCTTCAACCGTTTAGCCGCTAGAGGGCGATTCTCGATTTTGAGCAATAATGTGAAACCATCATAACTTTTTTGTTTATGAAAATTATTGATTTCCGTAAAAACTTTCTAGAAGCACTTTTTCAAGCAGAATTCAGTGACGTTCTCAGTATTATTCTAGTTGGTCCCAACTTCGAGATATTGACCAAAATCTGGTTTTTTTCAATAGGACACCCGATATTTTAATAGCTCATTAGAAAGCTCTGCTTTTTCTGATTTCAAGGATATAAAGTTCGATAGGTTTATCTCTAATAGTTTTCGAGAAAAAAAATTATTTCGGTTTTTGTCATAAGAAGCAGAAGTAAGGAAACTGAGAAAGGTCTCTTTCTAACTCATTGTTTCTTATGACAAAAGCCGAAATATTTTTTTTTTCTCGAAAACTGTTAGAGATAAACCTATCGAAATTTGTATCATTGAAATCAGCAAAAGCAGAGCTTTCTAATGAACTATTAATATATAGGGTGTCCCATTGAAAAAAATCGGATTTTGGTCAATATCTTGAAATCGAGGCCCAATAGAAAAAAACTGAAAACGTCACTGAATTCTGCTTGAAAAAGTGCTTCTAGAAAGTTTTTACAGAAATCAATAATTTTCATAAACAAAAAAGTTATGATGGTTTCACATTATTGCTCAAAATCGAGAATCGCCCTCTAGCGGCTAAACGGTTGAAGATATCAAAATGCAGTTTGCACCAATCAAAATTGCATGAAATTTGAGCCTCAGAGTGGGGGGTTCATTTTTTTGTATCTCGCTCAGAAATTGACGTTTCCTATTAGTAGTGTCCAAATTGGCCCACCCTGTACAGTGGCGTGCAAAGAGAAATTATTATTTTTCATTAAATCAATTTTATTAGCAATTATATCTTTCGATTAGCGTATTTTTATGATTAAAAATTTCGAATACCTACCTCAATGATATGCTATACAGTGGCGTGTTAATAATTATTTATACCACTGATAAAAGTTAAATATTCGGAACCGATTTCGTTGTGGTGAGAGGAAACCCGAATTTTTATTACCTGCTAATTTTCTTTGTAGCTTCATGTTTAAAGGTATTTCAATTAAACATTCTTCTACTAATGGTAGCAGTATCACAAAATAAAGGTAAGGATGGTAAATTACATTATCTGCCAAACAAAAAATTATATGAACAACGTTAATGCTTCTTTAAGTTGATTCAAAACAAAACACAAAAAGTGTTTCTATAGGTTTTTTACGTTATGTTTAGGATGACGTCGTAGAACAAGGACTGACAATGTTGTCAATGCCTATTTTTTTCCTTATAATTTACCAGAATGTAATAAAAAATTATCAAGACCACTGACAGCTAGAAATAACAAAATGAATCTATACGTGTTATTTATTTGAAAATGTTTATTCAAACCATACAACGTCGCGCGCCGTTGTCAACCGGTAAAATCTGAAATTCCCCTACTTTAAATGCGTTAAGAAGTACTTTCAGTTTAGTTAGGTAGATACCTAGGTAAAACAAATCAAAATAAGTGAACTAAAAAACTAATCAAAGTAAGATTCAATAACAACAACAAAGTGACCTGAAAGTCAAGTAATAAACAACGTAAACTAAATTTTTTTATTAAGAACGGCCGATATTCAAAGTTATTTAATTAATAGCTAGTAAGCCTTCCCCTCAAATTCACAACCTCTTGGCATCGCCGTGGCATGTTGTCAACCAAGAGATTAATAAATGCCTGAGGGATATTTTGCCACTCTTCTTCTATGGCAAGTGCGAACTCATCCAGCGTTTGGGAGCATTTTCGCGCGATCATACCAGTAACTTAA